ATCATCGTTCCTCCTGCGTCCCACGCCTATCATCGTGCGTCTCATGAGAACTATCGCCACACACTTCACAAATGACTATCGTTGCACGCTCCACGAGAGGCTATCGCCGCCCTTGCAGGGGCGAGCTGCCTTCTTGTGTTGCTAGTGGCAATGCCTAGTGTCGTTCGTAGTTCCCTGCTCCCCCTCAAGCCATGTAGTGTCTAGCACCATCCAAGGGTCGTGACACTGCTACTCCACGGTCATGGGTGGCAACGTCTAGAGCCGTTGGGACCCTATATATCTGTCGTCTTGTGCCTTCTCTTCATTATCTCCTCTTCTTACTTGATTGAGGGTTGACCTAGCCTAGCACCGCTATATCGGCCTCGATTTCGAGTAGTATTGTAGTCATGCTGGTCCTGGGTACCATGCCCAACTTGCTACCACTCCGAGTCAGTCACTGTTCGACTATCAAGCTAGTCTCATCCCTTTATCAAGTGTTCTTCTCTCTTCGACCTTTGTTCAAGCCTTCCACTTCATCACTCTAACCCCTCACATTCTTAGCCACGTAAATGTGGGTTGCCCTAAGCCAAGGGTGGGCCCTTTGACCCACTTGTCCTACATATTAACCATAGTAGTGTTGTGCAGAAAAACAAGGAGATCGCAGGTCAAGGGAGGCGATTCTGAACCAGCTAAAACAACTAGGGGGTTTTCTGTCGTGATCTAAGAGGGCGCCCACGCGAGTTAGCCTGAGTAAGTCATGAACCCAGGTGAGGTTGGTCCCCACCTCATATCCAAAATTCCTCTTTGGATACCTACCGTTGTTCTTGAACAAGGTTCTCGAGAGAGCGATCTCAAGTCCCGGGTTTTCTGAACCCGGGACATTGTCACCTAATCACCTAAATCCGGGAAGGCGAGATCGAGGCACCTAGCCATTAGCAAGTTGTTTTTAGACTTTTTTTAAGTAGGGGGAAAGTTTATATAGAGCCAAGGCACTAAACAATCAAATTTGAGCCTACCTCAAAAATTTCACTAGAGGAGGTTGTTTTCTTGCCCAAATATCCTCAAATTGATCATCTCGACCTCAAAATAAATAAAAATGAAAGAAAAATAGATTTCAAGTTTTGGAAATAGGACATTTTGTAACACAATTTTGGACCGTCAACTTTAAAGATTTTCAAGTTTTCATAGATCTATTGATCAACACTATTTTTGAAGCTTTAAACTTTATAAATAAAGATGAAAATATATTTTAAGGCTATCACAAATATTTTCAGTATTGAAACCACATTTCTCAACACTATTTGAAGGTAAGCTGTAATTTGATGGTTTAGAGCCTAGGCTCTATACCATTGTTCACAAAACCGGCCGTTCAAACCAGAACTGGCCAGTTAGATCGGTACCGACAAGGTACTGATTCTGGTTAAGGCCGATTTTGCGGTACTACTCAATAGACGCCGCTCTCCAAAACAAATCGGTAAAAAAACCTGTCGGTTCAATGTCAAACCGACGGTATTTTCTCAAAGCCGGGTGGTTTTCAGCTAACCGGACCGGTTTGTCGATATATTGGTGTTTTAGAGTAAATAACGGTAATGTATAAATAACAGCGTTATTTTGAAATAGAGATCGCTATATGTAGCTGGAAAACTGGGAATCCAACTTTTCACCATTTTTTATTCGGTTTGCGGCCATTTTTTGGTTTTTGGTTTTTTTTTTTATGTTTTTTTTGTTGTTGTGTGCGTGTGTGTGTGTGTGTGTGTGTGTTTTAATGGTTTAAAACACTACATAATGAATATAAAACAAGCAATTTTGATTTAAACATTGAAAAAAAAAAGAAGAGTTTCTTGGATTGAAATGGCGGATTTTTTAGGTTTTTGAAAATTTTCGCCATTCTTTCAATAATCTCCTCAATACCTAATGGTTCTTGAAGATATTTGAGGGGTTTTATTGCTATTCGAAGTATTTACTAGATTCAAGTTTTAATTTGTCCAGAAAACAAAAAAATCAAAGGTTTATTTTTGCCCGAAAAGCTGTCGCTCCGAGAACCTGTGTTCTACCCAAAAACAGATATTTTTTTTCCATTTATTTGTTGTGTTTTTATCAAATTCAGTTGTGTATTTCAATCATTGAGGCTTCATATCTCAAATAAAATTGGTATGTTTATTTATGATTGAGTAAATTTTTTTATACCAATTTTTTCGGTGCACCATATCATAAAAATTTCATAGATCTGAAATTTCTGCCTTTTCTTCAATTAAATTTAAAATACTGAATATGTTTTGATGATATTTGGTGCATTTGAAAGATGATCGAAGCCTTTACAATGCATGTATGTTTATTTGTTCGATTTTCCAAATGTTGAAGGTCGTTTCTTGCTCGAAATGTTGATTCATTTTTGGGGTTTTTGAAAAGTTGATTTTTCTAAAAAAGATATTTTGTTTAAGAAAATTATGTTTGGGAAGCGTTTTTCTATTTAACTTAATAAAATTATTTTTAATAGAATTATGATTTTTTAATAAAATGATGTTTTTTGATGAATATGGGAAGTGTTTTTCTATTTTGCTTAATAAAATTATTCTTTTGATAAAATTATTTTTTTGATGAAATTGATTATTCTTTTTGATAAGCACATGATAAAGTCGCTCAATTTTTTTAAATAAGTCTTTTTAAGTTGATATAGTTATATTTGTAACGATGGAAATGGGATAGTTTGTTTTTTTAAGTGCATGTAAAAATTTTGGTTGCCTTATATTCAATGAAACACTACACCGTCTTGTATGTGCTTGGTTCTTCTATGTTTCCCGTTTTTTTTTCCTTTTTTTATCAAGTTTTTGGAATATTATGGAAAGAGTCTTTAAAATATCAGCCATTTTTTAAAAAAATTGGCCGACTAACTCGGGATCAGTCACTGGTCGATCTCGATCTGGCCCGATTCCACAGAGAGAGAGAGTTTTGCAAAGATCTTAATTTCAAATCATCTCTCATTTGAGAAATTGATTTTTCAAAAAAAAAAATTCATTTTGCTTAGTAAAGTTATGTTTTTTTTATCAATATTGGAACTTTTTTTCTTTGCTTAATAAAAGTATCTTTCGAACAAAACTATGTTTTTTGATGAATATGGGAACTGATTTTCTATTTATGCTTAACAAAAATTTTTTTGATAAAATTATGGTTTTTTTAATAAAATTATGTTTTATGATGAATGTAGGAAGTAATTTTCCATTTTGCTTAGTAAAATTATTTTTTGATAAAATTATGGGCTTTTTAATAAAAGTATGTTTTATGATAAATGTGGGAAGTGTTTTATGATAAATATGGGAAGTGTTTTTCTATTTTGCTTAACAAAATTATTTTTTGATCAAATTATTTGTTCTATTGTTCTTAATTTTTGATAAAATCAATGCACAACACACTGATATGGACATCGTAGATACATAAAAGAACATATAAGAGCAATATAACATATTAGTGTGTTGTACACATCATGAGACGTATTTTTGTGAAGCATGCCTTTTTTAACTTCATCGAAAAAGTATCGTATGAATGAAAAAGTTTATATAAGGATGCACCTCAAAAATCCATCGAAAAATGTAGTTTTAATGTTGAAAAACCCTTTGATTGATCATCGAGATGTATGACCATGAAAAATAAAAAGATTTTAAGTCTCAAAAATAGTAGCA